ATACAGTTGTACAGTTCCCCTTCAGCTACACAGTAATGACTGGTTTTGTGATGACTTTCAAGCTGTTAAGTGGACTATTAGTACCTGACTTGTGCCTTTACATAGCATCTTAACAGTAACAAATACACTTGCAAATCAGCACAGCATCATACTCCCTGCACTATTAATTTTCTTTACATTCTCTGTATTCATTTACATTTCAGTTCAATGCAGTGAAATTTACTTTGTTAACATTTTCAGGTTCTTCTAGAAATGTTTCATTCCACAATTAATACATGAAAGTGTGAACAAAGTCACCAAGCTTAATTTTTTAATTTTTAAAAATTAACAGCTACATTATTTGAAGGAAAAGATAGTTAACTATAAAACCCTTGGCTCACAGTTTCTTTCCTAGGGTACCATTATGAAGCCCTGGTGGGCCAGTGGTTAAGAGCTCTGCTGCTAACCAAAAAGTCAGCAGTTCGAATCCACCAGCCGCTCCTTAGAAACCCTAGGGGCAGTGCTACTGCGTCCTACAGGGTCACGATGAGTCAGAATCGACTCAATGGCAATGGGATCGTTTGGTTTTGGGGTAATAGCAAATGAAGACCCAACAACACACTCCATAGTCTTTCATTAAGCTTGTCTGGTCCAGTTAGCTCAGTCCAGTTAGAAAACTGAGCTATGAAAGCCAGAATTAGAAGTTCAGAGCTGACACAGGTCTATTATATATCGAGTCTGTTGATGACCACAAACTATATGCCATTCTGACCAGCCTTTCCACAGGCGCGTACTGTGGATTATGAGGTGAATGAGGCAGTGGGGATGAATGGCTCAGACTGTTCTACAACCACTTCTAGAAAATACAATTAAAACATAGGCCCTGTTGGCAGAATTATCAATAATATATCTTCTGTAAGGGAACATGTTATCTATCCGTCTACATAAGGATTGTTAAAATGTGTAATAAGATTAAAATTACTTCTGACAGATAGCTCTTAAATTTGTATACATTTTTTAATCACCTTTTCTGTAGGGCTGTTTACAAGACACATAAAACCCATTGCCATCAAGTCAATTCTGACTCATAGTGACCCCACAGGACAAAGTAGAACTGCCCCATAGGGTTTCCAAGGAGTGGCTGGTGGATTTGAACTGCTGACCCTTTGGTTAGCAGCTGAACGCTTAACGACTGCACCACCAGGGCTCCACAAGACATACCATATCGGATTAAAAAGAAGCTATCCACAATTGGTAAGACATTTTAAATACTACTTTTTTTTTTTTTAGCATGATATCTTAAAAATTCCAATAGAAAAAATGTGTTCCTTCACGATTTTTTTTTCTCTGCTTTAGAATCTACTAACAAAAAATAAAAAGAGCATACTACTAGAAGTGAAGGGCCTTGTCTAAACTGCTCAGCAATAATACCTCAGGTAAACCTCAGAATGTATCTCCACCTCTTGGGCCAAGAGTGCACCATTCCAACTATCTTTGCAGCAGGAATTTCCTATATCTCCAAGAGCTTTATGATTTCTTCCTTCCATTGTAATAATTTATTCAAATATAAAAATATATTCTTATAAAATAAGAACCTGGGGCAAAATTAATCTTTTTAAATATCTTGGTTATAGGTTTAAATTTCATCATTTCTATAACTTTTTGACTGAGGTATTGAGCTAAAATAAATATATTTCAAAAATCAGATGCATATATGAAGGAAATTTTTTTCCTTTCAAAAATACAGAAAATGATATTTTCTTAAGGTGTTCCTCTACACCATCAGAGTATCTCTTCCCAGGGGCCAAACCAATCTCTACATGCAAAACCAAACCAAACCAAACCAAACCCACTGCCATAAAGCTGATTCCGACTCATAGTGACCCTAGAGGACAAAGGAGAACTGCCCCGTAGGGTTTCCTAGGCTATAATCTTTATGGAATCAGATTGCCACATCTATGTCCCGCGGAGCAGCTGGTGGGTTCAAACCGCCAACTTTCCGGTTAGCAGCCGACCACTTAATGCAAAAATGAAGTGGAGAGATTAAAAAACAAAACACACATACAAAAAATTCTAAGCTATTAGCAAAAACTTCCTAATCTAATCTGTACCTTAAAAGTAAATGTTACTGGCACATTAAGGTTACTGATTGCTTTATGCTGAATTAACAGTGACATGTTGATCCTATTATTCCTCGGAATAGTGAGAAAATAATTTAAAAAGAGAATTGATAAAAAAAAAAAACTTAAGGAAAAAAATCCTAGTAAAAGTTAATTATAATTGTTTAATAAAACGTTTAACTGAGGACCTGTTATGCACAAAAGTTGTAAAGATGACAAATAGTGCTCAAGAGAAACCCTCTGTTCAAGATTTGACTAATATGAGATACATAAAAATTATTAACCTAAAAGAATGCCTATGATACATAAATGGACGAACTACATGTTTATACATATGAAAGGGAAGCAGGGAGAACTTCCAATGGAAGTAATAAGGAATACATTTCAGAAGACATTCCAGGAATTGAAGCAGCAAAATAAAACATATATTCAGGGAAGAAAGAACAGAAAAAATAGGCTAACACTGAGTTCTCTTCGCGAAGTAGCAGAGGTTTAAGGTTGAAACGAGCGATTACAATGGGCAGGAAATGGGCAGCCACTTAGGATGTCCAACTGCACTGTTACCTGACCTCCACACAGACCAATGTTATAGCTACAATCAAGCTATGCTTTAGAAATGCTCATCTAGTGGCCTAAAACACTAATCTAGGAAGCCAAGGCCTGGACGCATTCAGCAATCAGTAGATGGCATCCTCGTTGTTGTTGTCATTGGCATAGCTCCTCTGCACCTTACTCAGTAAACCACACGTGAGGGAATTAGTCTGGTGAATTAGTAAAGTGGTGGTTGAAATGGTAAGACCGTAGGGAATACACTGGCACACCAAGACATTTCATAAGAATGTTGATTTATTTTCCATATACTTTAACAAATCATAAACAATAATAAAAAGTATGGCTTTAATATATTATTTTTTTACTTAGAGAATACTCTTTTGGAAGAATATTAATAGGCAGTAATAAAAAAATTTATGAGATTTCCTAAATATACACTTGTAAGCATTATCAATAAAATAATGATCACATTTTTGTCTACATCTACTTGTCCAAACATGAGATGTTATATTATGAATATGAAAAAACAGCCTATTATTACTGGTTCATTAGAAAAGTTTTTATTACATGACTGTTATACATCAGGACCTTTTCTGTGTAATAGGAATACATCAGTAACAGAAACAGATAAAAATCAGCGCTGTCAGGAGCTTATATCCTAGAAGGGTAACAACAAAGGTAGACAAAGAAAAACCATACAAAAGCAGTATATAAAGTGCTGTCACTTATAATACAGCTATGAGGTGGTAAGTCTATGGAGAATAAGTCACACCAGAAAAGAGGTGGGGCAGGAGAGAAGCACGAGAGGGAAAAGCTCACTTTTAAAGAGCGCGGTCACGAAAGGCCTCCCTGGGAAGACTGCGGTTGTGTGAAGACTCGAAAGTAAGGGGACAATCTACTGTCCTGTACTCATTTTCAATTATTTTCCTTTGTAACAATTTAATGTTGAATATCAAAGACACAGTGAAATAATGCTTTCCTCTAAATAATGACAGATTTCAAAAATACGTAAACATGGCAAAACCACATCTGGATTATTAAGTCAGATGATTATCCAGAATCTAACTTTGACTTTCTGTCCTTGCCATCTATGAGAGGAATAGGAAAATGTTCACAAAAATATAAGACCAAATTGGTCATTATATAGTATCAATGACTGCAATTCTGATTATTTGCAACTAACACCTAAAACCTGATCGGGCAGTCGGCAAACACGCAACGAATCAAGTGAATTATATCCCGACATTACAGTTCCACGAAGCAGTCCAGACAAAGGCACAAACAATGTCAGAGAAGAAATAACTTGTTAGCGTTCTTTCATATTCAAGATACCTGACACTCTGTAAGCAATGAAGAAGTGTCATCAGCTTACACTGCAGATTTATATTTATAGAGAATTTATAACATATTATTTTGCCATATAATAATTTTATTCCAGTCAGAAACACATTTTTTTAGAAATTAAGGTATAATAATGGCATTGTGGTTATGTTTGATAAAATAAGAGCTTATCTTCTAGGGACAGCTACTGAATATTTATGCATGAAATGAGACGAGAACTGGGTCAGGGAATAAATGAAACAAGATCAGTTATGAGTTGATAACTGATAAAACTGATAAGTGATCAAATCTGCTGTAGGATACATGGGAGAGGGGTCATTATACTAATCTCTCAACATCTGTGTACTCTTTAAAAGGTTAAAGGAAAAACAAGTGTATTTTCAATCTTTTATTAATATTCACTAACCTATCTGCAACCTCAAGGAGAGTATTTTGCCATAATAATCCATTACCATTTGATGGTAATCCATCACCATATTTCCTAACCACCAAAAGGAAAAGGGAAGAGGACAAACTAAGTTATGTGAATTCAGCGGCAGTTACTAATGTGAACTCTGCAGCTAATGTAACAACACATCAATTTTACTTTTGTGTGGCAAACAATTCCTAACATTCTAATATAATGACTGACAAGATTCTTAATATTTTAATTTCTTCTTTGGTAAATTAATTTTACCACTGGCTTCAAACTACTTCCTCTTGTGTCATTACATTACTTCCATAGCAGGATACAAGGTGGAAAAAGTAGTTCATGCGTGTGTATTTGATGAAGTAGGTACACTGACTGACTGTTTGTAAATCAACACTAAAGCAGCCGTCACCCTAACAAACTCCAACATATACTGATGTGTGTGTGTGTGCAGCCGGCAGTAGTAAAGGAGAAGAGAAAGAACATGGATCTTGAGCTACAAATTGAATCCTTTCTTACTGAATACTGAACACAATTTCTGATTCCTGTGTTAAAGAGGATTAAAGTTCAGAGTATTGATGCTTACAGCATATACTTACAACTTGTCCATTGTGAGGGTTCTTATGAGCATATGGAGGTCCACGGATATGATTCCACATCTGGCCAGAAGTCATAGCAAAGACTATACACTGAAAAAAGAGGGTATGGTGTTGCAATATGTAAGCAAAAGAATACCAGAATATTACATTTTTCAAAAATAATGGTTATGAAAGTACTTTTAAAAATTATATATCAGCTCACCCATTAAAATTTTTTTTTGCTTATTAACTATGGGGGCCTTGGGTAAGTTACTTATTTTCCCTGCATCTCAGATTTTACGTCTATAAAGTGAGGATATAAACCATGTTCAAAAATATGCTGATAAATTGGATAACACATGGAAAGCTTCTGGCATGGCGCTAACCTGATACTATGTGCTGATCAGACCCAGTCAAAAGCATAAATGAGACACTCGGTGTTTTAGTGACAGTTTAAAGGACATAACAGCCATCTTCTAGAGCTTTGAAATTTCATTCCTGTATTAGTCTGAATCACCGAAATCCTACATCCTTTGGTTACAGTACTTAGTTCCCTAGAGAAATGCTTTCAGCAAAGTAGAGGACACAGCAAATTCAGATGTTTAGAGTTGGAAGAAATCATAAAAAAGGAATAAACGCAGAGATCACAGGCCTGCTGTATCTATCAGAAAAGGCTGTATTTGGAAAATTCATTCTCAAGATACAAGGCATTATAGGGACAAAGACAGCGTGAGCTAGAGGCCAGAGTAAATCACTATGACTTACGTATGAGCATGTTTTAACATAGATCACTTAGTATTTTTAAATTTATGAAGTAGAACACCTTTAGACTGGGATGTGTTCTTCAGGTTAAAACAGTACCCAGCACTTCCTACTGCCCTGTATCTTGCCCAACTGACTCTTTAATTTAGCTGCCTGCTTCCTGCAGGTATTGAGATTGAGACTCCTAGCATCAATGAAGATTCAGGGCAAGACTGAGCCACATGACTGAGGTCTAAACCTAGGTATGCACAGCCTACAAAGGGAAAAAGAGGATACAAACAAGTAAAACAAAGCTAGAGCAGATTATGGAGGATGTCTGAGTCCGGAGAATTAATTTAGATTCTGTTCTAGAACTGCCTGGGGGCTAAGGTGTTTCAACGGAGAAATGAAAATGATATAACAAGTTTTTAGAGAGGTTAATCTGAATCTCTTTCCCTTTTTTTTTTTTGGAATAACTCTGATTATTAAGGCAGATTTCTTAAAAGCCAGACTTAACATGTATAGATTTATCTAGGAGAAGATATTTTCCTAAAGTTGGGATTATAAAATACACGCACTTTAAATTCAGAAGTACACAAGAACATAAGACCAGGGTAAGCATAGAGATTAGAGTGATTCATCATCTAAAAAATCTTTAAAAATATGTAATTGTTGCATGAGAGAAATAAATTATACACCTAAGTCACAGGAGTATCATGCCAGTGAATTTACAGAGTATATTAAAGTTGATTCTTTTTGCTATAGAACCAAAACGAAATCCATTGCAAAAATCCTTTTTAGAAAGAATGAGACAATACACACAACCATTTCAAGAAGTTTTGCTATAAAGAGTATGACAAACATAGAATGTCATACTATGGGAAGGGAAAATGGTGTTCTATCTCTTTAAAGATGAATTACAGGATGATTGCATTGATACTGAGAATGAGTCAGTAGTAAGGGAAAACTTAATGATGGTGTTGGAAGAAGGGAAAATTGTTGGAGTACTGCCACTGAATAGGTGAGAAGAAATGATATGTAGTACATGAGTAGGAGGAGGTGCTAGTTTTAGATAAGAGCAGAAGCAGTTCAAATAATACGGCAATACACAAACCCCAAACAGTCCATGCAGAAAATGCAGTGGTGAAAGAGGTTCTGTGCACTTATATAGGATAAAGACAAATATTTATTTTCACTAACCTGTAACTAAAATTCTGTAAGTTTTAAAAATCGAAGTTGTCAATGATTTCATTCTATTTGGGTCAACAATCAATGTCCATGGAAGCAGCAGTCAAGAAATCAACAATGTATTGCACTGTGCAAATCCGCTACAAAATACCTGTTTAAAGTTTTAAAAAGCAAAAATGTCACGTTGATGACTCATGTGTGCCTGACCCAAGCCATGGTCTTTTCAATCGCTTCATACGTATGGGAAAGTTCAACACTGAAAAAGGAAGATCGAAGAATGGATGCATTCAAACTGAGGTAGTGGTGAAGAATACTGAATATACCATGGACAGCCAAAAGAACGAACAAACCAGTTTTAAAAGAAATACAACCAGAAAGTCCCTTAATGACGACGATGAGACTTGGGCTTACTGACTTTGGACAAGTCATCAGGAAAGACCACTCTTTAACGAGATGGGCTCACATGACAGCCACAATGGATCCAAATATACTGATGATGAGGAAGAAGATGGCGCAGGGACAGGCAACGTTTCATTCTGTTATGCATGAGGTCACCAGGGGTCAGAGCAGACTCCATGGCAACTGGCAAAAATAACGTAATTAAAATTTATAATTTCCTTCAATTATGAATGTAGGTGATAGATGACAATAGTATTAGAAGTACCTGTGATTTTGTCCATGAGAGAAATACAGGTATTTTCATACCACAACAGTTATTGTCAATATCTCAAAATAGTTGACACTCATCACTACTTCGAAATTATGGTTCTTAGACCTACAGTTCTTGTGATTTAATGCAGAAATAAGGAAATATATGTTGCTGTATCACAAACTTTACTAGTATATAAGAGAAAAATACTCAAATTCTATTAAAAAAATGAGATCTTAAAATTATTTAGCAATAACACCACTATCTATGGTCTGTTAGACAAGCTTTTTTTTTTTTTTTTAAAGCTAATCTTAAAACATGATTTGTGCAAGATTCCAGGAAATTGTTTCAGGAAACAAAATCAGGCTTAAACATGGTATACTCTGCTGAGTCATTTGAAGTAGTGACAGATGTATTTACAGTACTTATAACTATTCACATCGCTGTGGTTCTTTTCACAAGAAACAACAAAACACTGAATAAACATTAACTTCTAAAATGCACAATAGCCTACATTTATAAAAAAAAAAAACTTCTCTAAGTAAGTATAACTGATGTTTTCTTTTTTATTTTTAGCAGTAAATGTCCAATTAGTTGCTTTTATTAATCTGGAATATCAATTGTTGCAGTTCATTTAATTACAATTTTAACTAAAATACTCATACAAAAAGGGCACGATTCATAATGATACAACTCAATGAATTTTCATAAAGTGACCCACCCATGTAACTATCACCGAGATCAAGAAATAGAACAGTATCAGAAATTGAAGAAAGGCAGAAGTCCCTCCGTGCCTCTTTCTAATCATTACCTGGATTCACTCTCTGAAGGGATGACAATGTTTTCTTGAAAATGCTGAATCATAGTGTACGTGTATATTCAGCTTTAGTAGATACAACAAGCACATTTCCAAGAGGTTGGATCAAATCCATCTATTTGCATGTGTGTGTGCTCACTGTAGCTATTCTGGTAGACATGCGTTAGTGTCACACCGTAGTTCTAATTTCTATTTCCCTGGTCATTATCGAAGCGGAATACCTTTCCATATATTTAGTGAAACTTGGACTGTTTTTTGAAGTAGCTGGCAAGTCTTTTGCCTACTTTTAAAATTCGATTATCTGTTGTTTCTTATTGTTCAGTAAAAAATCTTTATGTTCCTGGATTCAAGTCCTACAATAAATATATGTATGACAAATATCTTTACCTAATAGATGGCTTGCCTTTCTTTTCGTTTTCTTAATGGTACCTTTTGACAGATGGGAAGTTCTTATTTTTAATGGAGTTCAGTTTATCAGTTTTTTCCTCTATTATGGCTACCACTTCTTATGTCCTATTTTAAGAAATCCTTGTCCATTCAGCAATCATGAAGACATATAGCTATGTTTTCTTCTAAAAGAGCCAACCTTTACATTTCACATTTAGACTCCCAATTCATCCTGAGTTGATTTTTTTGTGTATAACAGGAGGTAGGAGTTGAAATTCATTTTTTTCCCACATGGATATCCAGTTGGCCCAGCACCGTTTATTGAAAATACCATACTTACCCACCTACTGACATGACTTTCGTCGTACATCACATGACTGTACAAGCATCAGTCTGTTCCTAGACTACCAACTCTGTTTCATTGGTCTATACGTCTTTTTGTGAAATAGCACAAGTCTTAATTATTGAAGATCTGTAAGAAATCTTGGTAGCTCCAGCATTGTTAATTCTTGTTTTTAAATTGTGCTTTAAATGAAGGTTTACAGAGCAAATTAGTTTCTCATTAAACAATGAATACACACACAATTATGTGACATTAGTTTCCAGCATTGTTCAATCTTAAATTCTCTAGCATTGTTGCTCTTAGTCAACATTGTCTTGACTATTCTATTCTTTGCACTTTGCCTTTTCATAAAAAATTTAGAATCTTGTCAAATTTTCCCAAAAAAAAAATCTGCTGAGATTTTGTTCAAGGTGAAAAGAAACATATTTAAAATGTTGAGTTTTCCAATCCATCAACATGTTACACCCTCTATTTGTTTGAGACTTTTTAAAATTTCTTTCAATAATGTTTGGTAGTTTTCAGTGCAGAAGTTTTGCATAACTTTTGTTAGACTGACTCATAGGCATTTAAGTGTTTCTGATGTTATGGAAAAGGATGATCTTTAAATTTCATTTTTTCTTTGTTGATGGTCTACAGAAATACAAGTGACTTCTGTAGATTCATGCATATACTTTAATGCGTTGGTCAGGGTCTCCAGTATAACAATCGAGAAAACACATCTTGTATTACTCCTTGGAGACCCTGGCTGATGCAGTAACACACTTGGCTCCTGAGCAAAAGGTTGGAGGTTCAAGTCCACCCACAGATGCCTCCAAACAAAGACCTGCTGATCTACGTCCAAAAAATCAGCCTCTGAAAACCCTATGGAGCATAGTTCTCCTCTGACACATGTGGCGTCAAAAGCTTTAGTTTTCTTCTGCAAACACAAAATTTAAACAAGACCACGAGTTAATTTTGTTAAGATACCTTTAACTAGCTGAGTGCTA